GGGGCGGAGGCTGAGGGGCGGGGCCTGAGGGGCGGGGCCTGCGGGGCGGGCGCGGTCTGCGCCGTGGAGAGGGCGGGGCTCGCGCGCAGGGAGGGCAGCGGCGTTGCCCCCGCATCTGCTCCGCGGCCCGGAGCTGTGCTCCTGGCAGGCCTGGCTCTGCGCGCGTCCGTGGCGGGGTCCTCCACACCTCCGCCGGGCCCCACGCGCAGAGCGGGTAGCCGCCGTCCCCGAGGCCCCTTGCAGATAGCTGGTGAGAGGCTCGGGCCCAGCAGGCGCTATTACAGGGAAATGCGGGTCGCGGCGCCGCGGATCACCCGGGCCTGGTCGCTGCCGCCCGCACTAGGCTGTGCTCCCGATTTTAGTGCGTTCCCCCCCGTTCCGGGTTTTTTGTTTTGTTTTGTTTTTTTTCCCGGAACCGGGGATTGAACTCAGGCCCTTGCACTTGCCAGGGAAGCGCTTATTCCGCTGAGCCATCTCCCTGGCCCCCCATTCCGGTTTTGGAGAAAGGATTTCCCAAAATTGTCGGAGCTGGCCAGAACTCGCGGTCCTCCTGCTTCAGCCTCCAAGCGGCTCCGTGCGCCCCCACGCGCACGAGCAAAGGACGAGGCCTCCAGGAGCCGGAGGCGGCGGGCGGGGGGCGCTCCGCCAGGGCGGTTAGCGAGCGAGGACACGCGCCGCGCCCGGACAGGCCGGGCACATTCTCAAATTTTGCCGTTAGATTCTGCGCGCAGTTCGAAAACGAGAAAGGGCTGCAAACCCTTTGAACGACGCAGGCACGGCGGCGGCGGCGCCCCCTGCTGGCGCCGCGGGGTGCTGCCCGGGCGCGCGGACCGCTCCGGGCCGGGCAGACCCGCAGCCTCGCTCCCGCGCACGGCCGCAGGTAGGGCAACTCCCAGGGCACGACAGCCGTGTGGGGAGCCGTGGAGTGGACAGGCGGAGAAGCAGACAATCCGAACGTTACCTTCTGGACAGTTTCACTAGGATCTTTTTCCTTTCCTGACTGATCATTTTTAAAGTTTTCTTTTTTTTTTGGCAGAACCGGGGATTGAACTCAGGCCTTTGCTCTTGCCAGGCAAGCGCTTATTCTACTGAGCTATCGCCCTGGCCCCTTGAGTGATACTTTCCTAAGAACTCAGGCACCTTCTCTGCTCAGGCTGTCCTTTAGCTCATTTCCTGGCCAGGCTGGTCTTGCAGAGGCTACAGGCGTGCGCCGCCAGGCCCCGCCTGCAAACACGTCTTGAGAGGAGAGACTGCACGGTCCCGAGTTGCAGGAGGATTATCCGCAGGGGAAGGCCTCTGGTGAAGTACGTGGCCGTGACAGCGGATAGCAAGTCCGTTCCCTCCGGAGACTTCTGTGCAAACACCGTGTGATTCATGGAGTTTTTGGACCCTGTGGAACTTTGTACCCTCACTGTGGTAGGCCTCCACAAACTCCTGTGCTGCAGGCCTGGCCCCGCTGGGCACTGTGGCTGGGCGATGGAGCCTTAGGGGAGGAGGCCTGGAGGGAGGACGCGGTCCCAGGCGCAAGCCCGTGCGTGCGGGACGGACAAGCCCTGCAGGGGCCGGGCCCACCTCCGCTTCCCAGGGGCCTTGCAGTGAGCGGGGCTCCCTCCTCCACAGCCCAGGTCACGGGCTGAAGCCTGTGAACCCGGAGCCAAGATAAGTCTCTTGTGTCAGCTTTCTCGCATCAGGACAGCGAACACTTTCATCCTGCCATCTTGAGGCCTGCGCTCGTCCGTGGAAAATCCGGACACCTTTCTACTTTCTCACTTTCAGATCACAGTTTCAAATGTCTTTATCATTTAGTGTCTTTTGTTCCAACTATTGCCACTGATTTTATTTTTACTACTTTTCAAAATTTGCTCCATGTCATTAAAATATCTGACAGTCCAAATCAACACTTAAACATCTCTTTCCAAGTGTTAAGAGAGCAGAGCTGGGGAGATGGATCAGTGGAATAAGCACTTCCCTGTCAAGCGCAAGGGCCTGAGCTCAATTCCTGGTTCTGCAAAAAAAAAAAAAAAAATTATTGTCGGGGGCCTGGCCCTAGCTCAGTTTGTTAAGTGGCTGCTTCCACAAAGCTGTCAGCCTCAGATTGCTGTAGTTCGATCCCCACAACTCCAGCCAGCCAA